CCATAAGGACACGATCCGATGTCCAGTACATGAATTCTAATTTCTGCTAATTCATGATGTAGCGCAACCACTAGACAATACCTTCGCCGAGTATTTGCCCTCACCTTCAATCTGCTGTATACTAATGGTCATGAGTCTCCACTAAAAGCCCAGGTAACTACTTAACCGAATAGACCAAGTGGCTAGTGAGCATTCCATTGTTGTTCAGGTATTAGTTTGTAGGGATTTCATTGATTGGTTACAGGATCTCATCAGGAGCTGACATCGATTAGGGGACCATTGGAAAGATACCTGGGAGTACTGGACAGCCAACTGTCTTGTCCTGGTTTGAAACTTTTCATCAGTACGCATCCACCGGTTATGGTACGAACCCAGGACCATCGGATTACAAGGCTAGCGAGCTTGAAGACTGTTAAGCCACTGAGACCTGATCCAGTAGTCAGCCCATGAATTCAAACTTCTGTCAATTCACGACACAGTGCAACTGCCATGTATATTAATTTCGATATAAGTGAGAAGATTTGTGGTTCAGGTGGTTGATTTTGATGTAGTTGTGTTCTCTGAGCTAACTGGATGGTGTATCTGCGAAGCTTTCATTAACCTACTTGCTATGCAACACCTCTACCATATACACTTCAATTTCATGAAGTCAGCTTTCAAATTTCTCCACCACTTTATTAGTCATCTCTCCTGGTCACCCTCTTCAACCTCATGACTGGTGGTTGCTCGGTGTTTTCACACCATCCACGCTACTTGTATTGGAACTGGTTGTTTCAACGACTTGAACTTTGACCCTTTGTGTGTGAGATTTCCTTCTTCTTATCGATTGGGAAATTTTGTCTTTGTCAGTGAGTCTATTGACTGATGGACGATTCACTGGAATACCAGACTTCCAAAATGTCTCTAGCATTCTTGGTGTTTCCTCTGTCTAGTATTTGAACGTTGGTTGTCCCAGTCGAATTTATGTCTGTGGTTGTCTGTATGTAGCGAGTGATGTGAGGGAGTGGATATCATGTCTTTCGACTGCTAGCTCACATTCGTGGATATGAAGGTGAGGGGGACGTCCATTTTGGCCAATGTAGTGTTTATTTCGCAATCGTTGCGACTTACCTTGTAGATGATGTTGGTTTTATCTTTTTCGTTGTTGGGTATTTTGGTTGGCACAGAGGCTACGTGAAGTGATTTAGTTGGTTTATGTGCGACATCAATTCCCAGTGGTTTCAAGTGTCATAACAACGTAAAAATTACGCCATGCTGATGAAGGATTATTAAGTAGCTATAGAATATAATCTGAGTGGATTTTGTCAATTCTAGTTTAATAATACTACTACTTTGATAAAGCCATTAGCAGCAGCATTAAATAGCGAAACGTTAGTAAGACCAACAGCATCGTTTTGTTTTTCATTCATTAGGAAATACAACAAACCTTTATTATAGTGAATATCATATACCCAATGCCCAAATGTTTCTCTAACTGTTAACAGTGAATTTGGTTCGGACATATGTAGAAATAATTAATTAATTAATAGTTTAGGGATCATCGGTATGACGCACCGACTGACAGCGTTCGAACACAAGAACTCCCGTTTATAATGCAAGCTCGTATGGCATTCAGCCAATGGGACCCGATCCAATGGCCAATCCATGAATTCTAACTCCTACTAATTCGTGTTTTAGCGCGACCAGCAACCAATGTTATCGGCCTGACATGCATCGTCACACTTGACTGGATGGACCCCACTGGATCACGACATCTTACTATAACTTCAAGGAACTCCGTCCTGTAGCAAGTCACTAGGAATCATCAAATTGGTGAGAAACGTCAGTAAAATTGACGATATTGTTTGTCACTTCTCTCTGTCGATCTTGCGCTGGTTAAGTGGGGCAAGATTTAATCATATGACATATATGGTTAGGTCAATAAAATCACGGCTTTACAACACTCTGAAAGAAAGATCATCCTTCCTTTAAGGGTTTATTCCTAAACTGTTAACTAAATTTCTCAGTTTAGAGAAAGTCATCAATAAATCATGAACTGTTGTCTTCATTTTTCGTTATTATTAGCTGTCTTCGATCATAGGTGTCTGCGTTCTATCTCCCGCGTGAAGTGGTATAATAAGGTGAGCAATATTGAGGTTAGGCACCGGTCGAGTGCTAGGTAAGGAAGGGAAATCAATAGACGAGACTGTGAAATTACATCGACTGAGATGGTTAGGACATGTGTTACGTATGCCTAGCCATCGCCTTCCTCGACAATGGGCAATGTTAGCTGATATAGGATCAGACTGGAAAAGAGCTAGCGGCGGTCAAACCAAAACATGGCATCAGTCAATGAAATCCACAACAGTTAGTCTAAGCCACGTAGGAAGGTGTAGACTTCCTGGTTGGGGTCTTCGGGACGGTAAAAACCAATGGTTGGAAACAATTGGTGATATGGCTCAAAATCGTTCTCAGTGGCCCAGATGCATCCACTCCTTGTGACTTATGATTTCCAGTTAAACTGTTTTGTTCTCCGTTATTACTATTCCTTTGTCTCACACCTCTGTTTACTGTCTATATTATGCATTTCTCCTACTTTCTTCTCTTGCTTTGTGTGCTACAAGGAGGGAGTGTGGTGACTTGAACTGCCGCACATATGTGCAAAGTTCTATGTCGAAAACAGACAGACAAACAGACCTCTTTTGATATTTCACATCTTTAGGATGAATCAAAAAATCACATCCTTGCTGACAAATACCTCTGAAAAGAAACTGGTGATAAAGAAGTTTGACTGTAATTAAATCTATGAAACATAAACTTTAATTATTGGACAGAAATTTAAATCTTCTTGTGTTACTTTGGACTGATTTCAGTAAATCTTTAATTGTGTTGGTGATATTTAGTACACAAAAGAAGGTTTTATGGGTCACTCATGATAAAGTGTAGCTTGAGTGTATTGCTTCCTCCATATAGAATTCATCGCATATTTTCATTTCTTATAGTTGATGCTACTAACAGATAAAAAGTACTATTGAATAATCAAGTATTGGTTTGTAGGGATTTGGTTGATTGGTTACAGGATTTCATCATGAGCTGACATCGATTAGGGGACCATTGGAAAACCTGGGAGTACTGGACAACCAACTGTTTCGTCCTAGTTTGGGACTCTCCAGCAGTACGCACCCACCGGGGTTCGAACCCAGAACCTTCTGGTTACAAGGCGAGCTCGTATTACATTAAGCCACTGGGACCCAATTCAATGGCCCATGAATTCTAACTTATGCCAATTCACGATATAGCGCTATACTCTTGAATAAATTGACAAATAAGCTGCATAGTGTACGACAGTCTTTGACATAATCCTTGAGGTATTTAATACATATTGAACTCATTTACAGGAGAGCAAAAAAATGAAAAACACACACATATTTGCATAATTTTTCGCATAAAGTTCTTTAAATTATGCGTGTATGTTATCGAATTTCTGTGAACCATTTCCTTACCATATCATTATTGAACAGATATTGAAATGATAGTCGGTCAGCTCTCTACATCAATCAATTTAATTGACTTTGAAAACGCCTTCAGCAGACAGAGTCCATTGAAAGGTGACTCGACAACTACTTCGCTACTACTACTACCAAGGGGTGTCAACAACAATTATACACCTCATCCAACAGTTGTACGACAATACTGCATTCCAAGTAATCTACAACGGGAAACTCACCGAATCCTTCGAAGTGAAGACCGGAGCAACACAAGCTGATCTGCCTACTATCTCCAATCATCTTCCTGATTGACGGCCGTAGACTGGATAATACGACAGATAGACAGACAGACAGCGGGCCCGGAAACGCGGAAACAGACAGGCACAAAATGAAGCCACACAATAAGAAACTTGGAGCATCTGATTTCGCCGATCAGCTATATATGTCTGATCTCCCACAAACTGGAAGATATGCAAGTGAAAAGCAACAAGTTGAAGAAGCGATAGAAGAAGCATCTAGAGAAGATGGGACTTCACTTCAGGTGAACATAGAGAAAACAGAGGAAGGTGACGAATATTCCTGGCCAACAGCAACAGCAACAACAACAACAGACAACAATCAGCATAAATCGGAGAAATCAGAGATAAGCAACCCGCTTCACCTACATGCCTACCTACCTACCTACCTACCTAGCTCTCACTACAGAAGCAGCATTTCAACTACGAGCGGACGGAACTGATCAGGATATCAAATCAGCGAGGATGGGGAAAGGAAGGCAAGCTTTCATTATTCTCAAGTCTGTGTGTAGATCAACAACACTACACAGCACGAAAATGAAAATGAGATCCGGATTTTCAACTCCAATGTGAAGTCAGTGCTACCAACTATTCGGATCAGAGATTTAGCACCACTCCGCGCCGCGTCACAAAGGGCACTTCGAGAAAACTACACACCTCCACCAACGGCCATCTTCGCTCGATACCACTCAAGATCAGATGACTAACCCAGAAGAGATCAGCAACACGGAGGGATCTGCAGGAACCGATTGTGCAACAGGAAGGTGTTCAGGAAGAAATGGAGGTGGATTGGACATACTCTGAGGAAACAAACCATCAAGTGAGTGACATCACACACCAGGTCATTACTTGAGTGGAACGCGAATGGGAAGTGGCAAGTTAGTTGGTCGTCACGTCAGTGTGATGGTGGGGTGACATGGAGTGGAGGAGGTGATGTGAAGAGGAGATGAAAGTATGTGGGCAGACGTGTGTAGTCAGGTGATGAAAACGTTGGTGGAGAATCGAATGTAATTGTGATGTGCGTGGCTGAAGCTCTATTTTCCTCTAGGAATTAAAGTAAGCAATAATATAATAATTTAATTACTGTACCCTTTTTGCTGTTTTATCGCCTGTCAGCTTAACTTTTATCACCCATATTATTTTACATATCATATTAACTCATAGAGGTTCAGGAAGCTCTTTAATTGATAAAACAGTTTTGTTAATTGCATATATATATATATATAAGTTTATTGACTTAACTCACCATCATAGTTGGAGTTGAAAACAATACTAACAGATTAGATAACCATTGAATTGTTTGACTAAGCGAATAAGCAGCAGCTCTTGGACCTTGTCTAAAAATTTCTGATACTATTAACGCAGGTACTGGTCCCAAACCCAATGCAAAACCGAATATATACACAAAGATAAAAATAATCGACAGACTTGTCATCAAAGTGTGAAGAGTTCCAGTGGATTTTTCTGTTAATGTGACAGATATGGTAAGAACTAATAAAGATATAACTAAGATTAATGATGGCCATAATAATAATGTACGTCGACCTGCTCGTTCTAATAGCGGTAAAGCGCCGATAGTTACGATTACATTGAATACACCAATACCAAATACACAATATTCAAGATAACTTTCTGAAATCCCAGCCATTGTTAGCATTTTAGATGAGTAAGAGATAACCTGTATTTAGAGAAGAGAGAAAAAAAGAATAAACATTTCATTGGTATAATTCAATTTTAGATTTTCCATCGATTGACTGGACCGAAGTGCTCGGTCTCAGGTTGACATGTCTGTTGGCTTCTTGTGCAAATGCTTCGACGACGTCTGGGCATTGAATTGGAATTAAATTTGTGGATGGTGACTAGCAGTGGAATAATCCAGGATAACGCACATTTCGTCCTTTTTGGAACTCTTCAACCGGATGTGCCTACAATCAATCGACGAGAAGATCTAAAATTCAATTAAATAGTTAATATGACCAGTTGCACAAGAGGTGGCTGTCGTGGCCCACGTGGTTAAGTGGATAACGCTTTGGCGTTTGAAACCATGGGCGCTGGGTTCGAGCCTCGGTGGGAACATAATCACTCAGTTACTGGCGAATGCAGGTACATCCACTGGCTGACGAGCCCAAAATAGGACGAAATGCGCATCCTGGATTCCACTGCTAGTCACCATCCACCAATTAACTTCTAATGTTTAAAAATTTCAACTGACACACATTAAAGTCCTAAAGAATGTAAAGAGAACATAAATTGCTGAAATTCTCAAAAAAAATTACATTTCTGCATCTTACCTGTATTTTGAAAAAAATTAACGAAACAAACGAAGAAATCGAAGTTGTGCAAAAGTCAACTCAACTACATAAATTTATATGTCATTGGTTTAATGATAGAATGCTGGTCGACCAAACAAATGATCCGGTTTCGATTCCCAGCCTATCTGCTTCTAAACATTACGATAACCAACTGACTGACTATAGCTACAAAATGTCAAATCTTGAAACCTATTTACTAAAAATGAATGATTTAAAACATTTCGTCTAGATTGTCTAATTATCCTTCTAATCTAACCATTTTATGATTTGTGATTACCCTCTGATCACCTGAATTCGGTTTATAAGAATTTGTTGAAGGATTTCATCATGAGCTGACATCGGTTACAGAACCATTGGAAAACTACAACTAAGTACTGCACAGACATCTGTTTCCGTTGTTCTAGTTTTAGAACTCTTCAGCAGTATGCAACCACCCGACTACCAGGGCTCGAACCCAGTACCTTCTGGTTACAAGACTAGCAAGTTCATAGACCATTAAGCCACTGGGACCCGACTCCTCAATGATCAGCCCATGAATTCTAACTTCCGTGAATTCATGATATAGTGTGACCACTAAATGATGTCAAGCTCATGATGAAATCCTCCAACCAATCAAATAAAAATTTCTACAAAATCAATATTTGAAAACTATAAGAATTCGTTTAATAGTTTGATAAACTGGTTATGCTGAACTACAGGATAACTACACTACACCTTAAATGAGATAGAAAATCATAGACAAGTCTGCAATAACAAAATTTCTAAGGAATCTGCCCTACGAAGATAGACAATTGATGTGAAGCAGTATTTACATATATATATGGAGGTATTTTTGAATTTTTACTTAGTAGATAAAAAATTGAATCTTCCTGAAATTTGTAAATTGATCTTCAAAGTTAATCACAATACACCTGAGTAACCTGCAACCGCTATTAATGTTGAATCACCTCTCCAGTCTGAAAAGGTAGGTTTCTCATCCTTGGTAATCAGGTCCCCTTGAGCATCTTTTATTGGTTTCATCATCTGGGTTGATCTCTTTCTAATTAGAAATCTGATATATCTGATATAATGTTCTGAAGGGTTTCTTACTTGCGGACTGCCTCCTCTGCTTCAGTTGCCAGTGTGTCGTAGAATTGTCTTTTGTCTTTCCTAGCACTCTTCTTTACTTCTTCATTCAGTTCAGTGTTCATTGAATTCAGCTTCTCCTTCTGTTGTCCATCTTTGCATTGAGTCATCTTCTCTTTCACCATCCTTTCCTCGATTAGCTTCCAGGTATCCGTTGAGAGCCATTCCTTGTCTTGTCTGTTCTTTCTTCCTAGGATGGTTGTACACGTTTCCTTGAACATCACCTTCAGATAGTTAGTTCCACTGTTCTTCCAAACAGGTTTCCCCAGTAACTCCACGTTGTTTATCAGACTTTGCTCTGATATCTGTAGCGAAGGCATACTTTGTAGTTTTGTCCTTGAGTTTATGAATGTTCAGCTTGAATTGTGGCCTGTCTACTGTTGTTTTCAGGGGTTCCAGCTTCACCATGAAGGTTCCTTGCACTAGACGATGGTCTGGGCCCATATCTGCACCGTTTCTCGACTTTTTGTCCTACAGGCTGCGTCTCCACTTCCTTGAGCATTATTTAGATGAAGTCTATCTGGTTTGTTGTGTGTCCATCAGGTGAAATCCATGTTGCTTTGTGTATATCCTTGTGTTTGTACATGCTCCCTCCAATCACCAAATCGTTGCTCTTTTCCATATCTAAACTAATTACATACATATGAAGTGATAACAAATAGGTGACTTTGTGATGGCAGTCTGCTCAAATCATGAAGAACCAAAACTTCCATCTCTCTATTGCACACATATTTTCTTTTGTTCGGTTTGTTTCAATCGATTAAGATATGACCTCTATTGGTATTATCTACTCTTGTGTTTATTTCAAATGTTTACAAGCTCCTGATTCAGAAGTTCCTACTTAAATTCAGGAATGGCCTAATTGTAGGTGGTTACATGTTCCAATAAATGAAATGAACTGTTCTTCAGTTATACCCTTCGGTCTCAAAATGTACTTCTGAACATCTTACAATAGTCTTTCACAGCTAAATATCGTGAATTTCTTCAAGGGGACAAAGCCGATATATGATATAATGGAATGGTTTGTGCTTCAGTGCTCAGAGATCATTGTGTCACAGGATATACCACAGTCAGTTAATATTTCACTTGAAAATGTTGTACGAAGGGAAAATATCATGTAGCAAACTCCTCTGAAAATTGTGTACACTTTATAAATACTGTCCAGAATAAAGATATTATTATTGTCATTATTAATATATGATTACTAGTTGTGTTTTCCTGACATGTCTGTATGGCTGGTGTAGTCATCCACTTCTGGTGGTAGATGTGTTGCTGACCTACGAAACTAGACGTTGACAGAACCACATCCGGAAAATCGATGTAGTTAAATATCATTCGTCAATAGATTGCAATATATTCGTCAATCCAGGGTTTGATTATCTCTTATTATTATTGTTTCCTTTAGTTCCTAAAGGAAAGTAGAGCTTCAGCCACGCACATCACAATTACATTCGATTCTCCACCAACGTTTTCATCACCTGACTACACACGTCTGCCCACATACTTTCATCTCCTCTTCACATCACCTCCTCCACTCCATGTCACACCACCATCACACTGACGTGACGACCAACTAACTTGCCACTTCCCATTCGCGTTCCACTCAAGTAATGAATGACCTGGTGTGTGATGTCACTCACTTGATGGTTTGTTTCCTCAGAGTATGTCCAATCCACCTCCATTTCTTCCTGAACACCTTCCTGTTGCACAATCGGTTCCTGCAGATCCCTCCCTGTTGCTGATCTCTTCTGGGTTAGTCATCTGATCTTGAGTGGTATCGAGCGAAGATGGCCGTTGGTGGAGGTGTGTAGTTTTCCCGAAGTGCCCTTTGTGACGCGGCGCGGAGTGGTGCTAAATCTCTGATCCGAATAGTTGGTAGCACTGACTTCACATTGGAGTTGAAAATCCGGATCTCATTTTCATTTTCGTGCTGTGTAGTGTTGTTGATCTACACACAGACTTGAGAATAATGAAAGCTTGCCTTCCTTCCCCGATCCTCGCTGATTTGATATCCTGATCAGTTCCGTCCGCTCGTAGTTGAAATGATGCTTCCCAGGTAGGTAGGTAAGTAGGTAGGTAGGTAGGTAGGTAGGTAGGTAGGTAGGTAGGTAGGTAGGTAGGTAGGTAGGTAGGTAGGTAGGTAGGTAGGTAGGTAGGTAGGTAGGTAGGTAGGTAGGTAGGTAGGTAGGTAGGTAGGTAGGTAGGTAGGTAGGTAGGTAGGTAGGTAGGTAGGTAGGTAGGTAGGTAGGTAGGTAGGTAGGTAGGTAGGTAGGTAGGTAGGTAGGTAGGTAGGTAGGTAGGTAGGTAGGTAGGTAGGTAGGTAGGTAGGTAGGTAGGTAGGTAGGTAGGTAGGTAGGTAGGTAGGTAGGTAGGTAGGTAGGTAGGTAGGTAGGTAGGTAGGTAGGTAGGTAGGTAGGTAGGTAGGTAGGTAGGTAGGTAGGTAAAGGAGGTTGCTTCTCTCCGATTTCTCCGATTTATGCTGATTGTTGTCTGTTGTTGTTGTTGCTGTTGCTGTTGGCCAGGAATATTCGTCACCTTCCTCTGTTTTCTCTATGTTCACCTGAAGTGAAGTCCTATCTTCTCCAGATGCTTCTTCTATCGCTTCTTCAACTTGTTGCTTTTCACTTGCATATCTTCCAGTTTGTGGGAGATCAGACATATATAGCTGATCGGCGAAATCAGATGCTCCAAGTTTCTTATTGTGTGGCTTCATTTTGTGCCTGTCTGTTTCCGCGTTTCCGGGCCCGCTGTCTGTCTGTCTATCTGTCGTATTATCCAGTCTACGGCCGTCAATCAGGAAGATGATTGGAGATAGTAGGCAGCCAGCCAGTCAGCTTGTGTTGCTCCGGTCTTCACTTCGAAGGATTCGGTGAGTTTCCCGTTGTAGATTACTTGGAATGCAGTATTGTCGTACAACTGTTGGATGAGATGTATAATTGTTGGTGACACCCCTTGGTAGTAGTAGTAGCGAAGTAGTTGTCGAGTCACCTTTCAATCGACTCTGTCTGCTGAAGGCGTTTTCAAAGTCAATTAAATTGATTGATGTAGAGAGCTGACTGACTGCCATTCCAAGCATCCTCGCTTTAGGACACTTCAATAACCTTTTGATGTTATCTTAATTTTATTTGATTAATGGAGGCTGGCAAGGAAATTTACCACTAGCACTTCATTTTATACAATGCACCCACCAGCTAGATATGCCTACATTCCTATGGTGTTCTCAACAGAACCTTAATCTACCACCCAAAGTTTCAATCTCTAAGATTTATATCACTGTTTGCAAAGATGGGTGAGCGGTGTGGGAGGGGGTCCACAAGTTCTGATGAGAAATCTACCATTTTAAAAATAGAGATCCCGTCCGTCCACATGATGATGATGACCAGATAGAATGAAATTCAAATTATGAATTCTACAAGAAACTTACCGCGTTTATTCCAGATAATTGTTGCATCATTTGTATAAGGCAAGCAATAACTACCGGTACACGTAGATCTTTCTGAACAAATAATTGTTGAAATTTAAAAGCAGGTTGACTTTTTGCAAATTCATTTTCTTTTTGTAATTCTGACAAAAATGTATCAACATTTTCTTGAATATTTAACTTTAAAAATGCATTTCTTGCTTCAGTTTCTTTATGTTTTTTTAAAAATAAAAATCTTGGACTTTCTGGACACATTGGTAAAAGTATGAGTGAAATAGTAGCTGGTACTGCGCCTAAAGCAGCAGCTAATGGCCATAGATTTTTACTATTTAATAAAAATGATAGTGTTATAAAATAGGCGAAAGCTATCCCGATTGTCACTGCCAATTGATGACATGCACCAATGCCTCCACGTAATTCACGTGGTGCAATTTCCGTTAAATATAATGAAGCTACACCAATAGTAATTCCACAGTTAATACCAATAACTACTCGTCCTATAAGCAGTAGCATGGGTTGCTTCAGTGCAACACACGGACCAATTAGTAATCCACTAGTTATTGCAAAGAAGTGATTGATGAATAAACCATTACGTCTATCGAAAAGGAATAAGAACAGAATAGAGAAAGAGAGTTGGTGTGTGTGTGTGTGTATGTTCGTGCGTGCGTGTTACATTGTCAACAGAAATTTAACATAATAATAAACATATTTCTTTTTCCTTCACGTTCCTCAGTGGAACATAGGGCTTCAAGCTAGTGGCTTGAAGTTTCTGTAGCAGTGTTTATTTTACAGGATGGGGTTGCTAGCCTCATGCCCAACCTTTCCTCTTCACCAGCATTATTTCTGGTTTAACGAGGTAAAGGAGTGCGTCGGCTGGGGGTCGAACCCCGGACCATGTGCATGGTCGGCGAGCGTCCTAACCACTATACCACCGACGCAAATAATAATAAACATATAAGGTATACTAATTCATGTAATATAAAAACATATACTGTAAACAAACAAAAAGCATTTTAAAAAGAGAAGACGTTCAGCGAAGAGACTTTTTTCGACAGCGAATTCATTCACATACCTGTACAATCGCATTTATATATAATTGTTCGTGTGTGTGTGTGCATGAGTTTTGTCAAGTTTAGATAATTGATCAGGTAATACAAGAATGATCTAACATAGAAACAAGGTTAATCAGACAGCAACTAAAGTAAGATTGAGTTAGTAAGTTAGATGACGTAATTTAATTGACTAGAAATTGAGCGTTGGTCAAGTCAGTAACAGTGGTAGTGAGGTGCAGAAATTAAATCGGGTGGAGGTAGAGAACAAGAAAGTTGAAAATGTAAAATATTACAATTGAGAAGACAAAATAATACTAATGAAGAGACAGAAAAAAAGATTTGGTAGAATTTACTTATCGGGTAATAAGATAGATTACGTCCATTGCAAGTGTAGTGATTGAACGAACTTCTTCTGTATGCAGAGTTCAGGACTTAGTAAGTGAATCGCCATTACTTCTGCAGTTTGAAGAAGTCTGATTCGTACACCTTTAGGAAGACTACTTCTTACTCTGTAGACGACTTTGAAGTTTGTTTGCGGTGTAGCTTGGTGTCCGGATTCTATCAGATGTTCTAAGATGGAGCTGTGGGGGCATTGATTTTCTCCTTTGTAAAACCATGTTGGTAAGTGTTCGGTGATACGTTTAGAAAGCGAGTGCTGGGTTCGGCCGACATACCTGGCTCCACATGAGCAGGTGAATTGATAAATACACATTGATGAGGCCAGCAGTGGTAGCTTATCCTTCACGTTCACATGAATCATAGGTTTTGTGGAGAAGGTTATTCGTAGTTCAGCTGCGAAGAAGGTCTTCTTAAGTGAGCGCGACAGTCGATTTTTCAGTGTTTCCGTAGATATATCTCCATTGAATTGAAGGTTCATGTAGAGTAGTTTTTTCGGGACGCTAAGCATGGGCGGCTTTTGTGGTCTAGGATTCATAGATTTTGCAATAAATCTTTCTGGATAACAATTCTCGACGAGGATTCTCTTGAGATTTTCCAGTTTATTTTCTATGGTGTCCAGGGTGCAAATTCTCCGAACTCTGTAGGTGAGTGAACGCATCAGGTTTTGTTTGGTGTATAGGGGTACCTAACTGTGAAAGTTAGTAAGCTGTCCGTTCCACGTCGACTTTCTGTGGATAGATCTTTTCAGTGTTCCATCCATTTTATGTAACCTATAAAACAAACCCATGGCGTTAGAATTAATTAGATGGTTGAAGGCAACAGGTCACAGGAAACTTTACCGGCACCTTGAGTCTCGTGCTAGTTGGTACTCACCACTGGTCAGTAAAGCAGGCGTATCAGCAACCTTAAAGGAAGTAACTCATACCCGTTCTGAGATTCGAAGCCGCGTCACCCTCTCTATCCAACCAGTGTCGCCTTCAGCCAGTCAGAGACGTTACCACTAAGCAGCTTTATGGAGTCACCACTGAACTCCTGTAGGACTGAATGTATTGGATACTTTTGAGTGAACACTAGTTACTAACTAGTCTTCAATCGAAAGTATCCGTAGTGTTAGTAAAAAAGCATGTTGTGAAGTTTGAGATAATAAGCCCTAAGTAGTTGCTAAAGTTGCTACTAAATTTCTCTTCTGGTAGCTGGTGGTAATTACCAGAGAGGAGTAGTAAATCACACTGCTTGATGATGTTTTGTAACAGATTTTATAAGATGTTGAAATGAGAGAGTCTGGTCAAACCTGGAGCTAGTCAGCTGAAGATGACGGCAGAAAACAGAACATAGTGGAGATATGTTGTTGAAGCCTTATGTTCCACTCAGGACGCAAGAGGATAATAACATATAATAATATAATATATTTTTCCTAAACATTCCATGTGGTTTTTAACAAATACCAAACTTACCGACCAAAACCGTCAGCTATCCATCCACAACTGAATGATCCCATCGCCGCAGCTACAACAAATATTGCAGTTGCAGTAACATATATAAATTGAGGATCACTTCCAGGCATTGTCTCCTTTAAAAAATTTTCAATATTCTACAAATAGAAGACAAAATATTTAACACGAACTATACAGATGACCATTTTATTAAGTAATATATATATTTTCTATAGTTTGGTTTGTAAGGGTTTGTTATGTTTTTACGAGTTGATCACGGACTGATATCAGTTAGAGAACCATTGAAAACCAGGGAGTACTGGACAGCTGTTGTTTCATCCTAGTTTGGGAATCATCGGAAGTACGCACCCACTGGGATTCGAACCCAGGACTTTCCGGTTACAAGGCCAGCAAGCTAGTATACCATTCAGCCACTGGGACCCGATTCAATGGCTCATGAATACGAGCTTGCCTTGTAACCGGAAGGTCCTGGGTTCGAATCCCAGTGGGTGCGTACTTCCGATGATTCCCAAACTAGGATGAAACAACAGCTGTCCAGTACTCCCTGGTTTTCAATGGTTCTCTAACTGATATCAGTCCGTGATCAACTCGTAATATATGTATACATATATATACATGATACAATGACATTTTCAATATGTGAATCTCAGTTTATTTATAGAAACTTGGAAATGATTCACTTCGTATTCATCTGTCTCTCTGTCTTTGTACCTGTTACATGGTTATCGTTGGATGGTTTACAGTATGCCATGTAAGTGAATCGTAGCAAGTTGCTCTACCCCATCAAGTATCAAGATCATCGATCAAAAGGAATACACAATTGCTTTGGTTTATAATAATTATTATTATTCCCTTGGGTTCCTAGTGGAACATAGGGCTTCAACTGCACGTCTCCACTTGCTTCTGTCTTCTGCTGTACTTTTCACCTGCATCCATGTTAACCCATACTGTTTCAACTCCTCTTCACACGATCTCCTCCATGTCACCCTTGCACTGACGTCCCACTCGCCGCTCCCCCTCCGGGTTCCACTCGAACAATGGCCTGACGCGCGATGTCACCCAATGGCCTACTCAGCAAGTGTCCAATCCATCTCCACTTTCTCTTGCATATTTGTTAGGTGATTGGTTCTTGTTTTGTTTGTTCCCATAGTTTCTTGTTGGTGATTCTTTCCGACAATCTGATCTTCAGTATAGAGCTAAGACAGTTGTTGATAAAGGTCTGCAACAGGCTGTTGGAAATATTCTTTGTGACTCGCCAAGTTTCTGTCTGATCCGTATAGAAGAACTGACTTGACGTTTGTATTGAAAATTCGAATTTTGTTGTTGATGCTGAGTGGCAGCGGAAGATATCCAGATTGGTTTCAGGTTGATGAATGTGTTTCTCGCCTTCCCGATTCTCGATTTGACATCCTCGTCTATTCCTCCTGTAGTTGAGACAATGCTCCCTAGATAAGTGAATGATGGTGATTGGCGCTGGATGTTGCTGCTGCTGCTGTTGTTGTTTGTTGGTTGGTTATTTTCATAACCTCCGTCTTGTCTATGTTCACCTGGAGTCCTGTCTTTGCTGCTTCTTCGACCAGTTTGTCGGTTTTCGCTTGTAAGTCTTCGATTTTGTGTGACATCAAACATAAATCATCCACGCTAGAAATCCAGGTCTTCTAGGTTCTTCACGTTTGTAAAATGATTCGTCCATCAGGGGGAACGATTTCAGCTATTAGAATGCTGATGGATTCCAGTTATGGCCAAAGAATGCCTCCTAGATTACAGTGTAATTAGTAATTTCCTATAATAATCTGACAAGCTGGAATTTAAAACAAGATTATGATGTGGTTGTGTTCTCTGAGCTGGATAGTTAATTTGCGAAGCTTTCATCACCCTACTAGGCGAAATCATCTGTCGCGTAGTAGGGCGATGAAAGCTTCGCAAATTAACTATCCAGCTCAGAGAACACAACCACATCAAAATCATCCACCTGAGCTACAGATCTTCTCTATCATATCTAAACAAGATTATGAAACGAAACGATTGATTTTACTAATGCTCTTACGCTTTTACATTTTAAGCAAATATCATATTATCTCAATCAAAATCAAAATGAATATCTGAACTGTATCGGTAGCAGTCTTAAAGCCAGGATCGGGAAAGCAAGGCAAGCTTTCATTTCTCTCAAGTCTGTGTGGAGGTCAACAGCACTATTCACCATGAAAAATAAGATCCGGATTTTCAACTCCAATGTGAAGTCAGTGCTACTTACTATACGGATCAGAAATTTTGCACCGCACCGCGCCGCGTCACGAAGGGCACTTTGAACAAGCTACACACCTTCATCAACAACTGTCTTCGCTCGATACCGTTCAAGATCAGATGACCGGCCAGGAAAGATCAGCAACAGAAAGGGATCTCTAGGAGCGAACCAACCGGGAACCCATTGTGCAACAAATATTCATGAGGAAATGGAGGTAGATTAGACATACTCTGAGGAAACAAACCATCAAGTGAGTGACATCACACACCAGGTCATTACTTGAGTGGAACGCGAATGGGAAGTGGCAAGTTAGTTGGTCGTCACGTCAGTGTGATGGTGGGGTGACATGGAGTGGGGGAGGTGATGTAAAGAGGAGATGAAGGCATGTGGACTGACGAGGAGCCAGGTAATGAAAACGTTGGTATAGAACCGAACTCAATGGAGACGTGCGTGGCTGAAGCCCTATTTTCCTCTAGGAATTAAAGGAAACAATAATAATAATAATCGGAAGCAGTCAAAAAACAAGAAAGGTTTAACCAAGAAAGTAGGTTCAAAGTTATCATAATATTGTATCATTATACTTCCAAATAACCTCGCCTGGTTAACTAGTTTTCTAGCCGGTTTCAAGCCCGGGTAAAGAGGGAGGGTTGGGCAGGTGTGGGCCTAGCAACCATACACCAATAAACCTATCAAACTGCTGGAGAAACTTCAACGCACAGAAAATATATTAAAAATACAACAAATTCAAATGACAGTCTTATTCTTCACTGCAATCAGAGAGGCGAAATAACACAGCGGGCTGATGAAAGCCCACCTTCGGTAAGCTAGTCAGACAGCCAATGTGTCTTCTCTCGATGAAAGCAAGAATATGAATGGGGACGTGGAATGTCCATACAATGTACGAGGCTGACTGAAAAGGCTGCCCAGGGTAGCCAAAGAAACGCGAAGATATGGCTTAGAAGTGTTGGATATCTGCGAGAGTAGATGGAATGAATGTGGATTATCAAAACTGTCAACTAGAGAGTCAGTAATCTACTCCGGTCTGGTTACCCAGACGACAACTACGCAGACACTGAGGGAGTGAGTGGCTATCATGATTTCACCAGTGGCAACCAGAGCCCTAATACAGTGGGAACCAATTTCCTCTTGCGGGATTATGACAGCAAGATTCACTTCAAAAGGAAGAAAGGTTACAATTATCCAATGCTATGGAACCCAAGGGAATAATAATAATAATAGACTTCCAAATGCATAAAACCAACCATTCAGGGAAGATATAATCTTATTGTAGCGGCTTCTTCCATACACAGCTGACAAACTCCTGCTTCCCCCCCCCACTATACTTATACTATCTTATCAGCTATAGAAACAGTTTCTTTTCAGTTAGAGAATTTACAACAGCGTACATTTTAAGATCCAACAAAGAGTTTAAATCCAAATTTTTAGGTTTCATTTCGGGCAATTAACCATCCTTCATTTGAATTGTAACTGAATAATCTGTGAATTTCACCAGCTAACTTCTTATCTATATTTCAAATTCACACCACACTTTGATTTTTAACCTTATAAACACTTCTGATCAGTTTGTGATCCAAATCTGATCTCTATCAACATCCCTGCATCTTAACGCTTTTTTTGCTTACTTCCAGGTATCCAACACATTCACAAATGAAAATTTTTAACACTTAAACTGTAGCATATTTAGTTGAAGATGAGACAGTGACTCATCGAAGAAGACATTACAAAGTGGTCGCACTATGTCATAAATACGCAGAAGTTACAATTCATGGATTGGACATGGGATCAGGTCCCAGTTGCTTAATGGTCTATGAGCTAGCTCGCCTTGTAACCAGAAGGTCCTGGGTTCAAACCCTTGCAGTGGAGTGGGTGCACACTGCCAAAGAGTATCAAACTGGGATGAAACAACTTTCCGGTACTCCATGGTGGTTTTCCAGTGGTTCTCTAACTGATGTCGGCTCATAATCAAAAATCCTCCATCCAATCAAACAAACAAAATCCCTACAAAACCAATACTTGCAGATATTTAGTAAACACAGGCTGAAGTAGTTATAAATACACATTTGTTTCAAATGTTTTCGCCTTTCAGACTTTTAGTAACTGATAACAAGTGTAAAATAGTTTCGAGAGTTCCTCAACTGACCATTTGATGTTAATAACCTGAAATCTAAAGTTAGTAAGAGCTATTGGATTTCTACAACCTCATCCGAACTGGTTGATGCAAGAAGACTGATCCCGGAGAGCCTCGAATATGATGAGGAGAGAAAGCTACTCAAATGCAAACTAAGAAGAGGCCTTCGTAACGACCGGGAACAGTGGTAGGCGACAAAAGCTAAGGAGATGGAAAAGACATCGGTGATTGGTAACGCTGGACATTTATTTAGACTTATCAGGGAAACAAGATGGGAAAAGGCGAATGGTAAGTGAAACAATCTCTGAGAAAAATGGCACCATAATTAGCTCTCAGGATGGACGACTAGAAAGTTGGAAAGAACACTTGAAGGAGCAGTCAACTTGGCCTACAGCTACGCTCAACTTACAGGACATCCAACACCTCCCTGAATGGGATATAGACACAGATCCTCCATCCCTAACTGAGGTTACAAAGCCTGTCACAAGTCTGAAACAAGGCAAATCAGCAGAACATGATGGAATAACTCAAGGGGTGTTTAAAGATGGCGGAAACAGTTTACTGTCTGCGTTAAATGGGGAAGCGTCTTGGAATCAGAGGAAGTCCCGTCAGTCTGACGAATTCAGTAATTATCCCGATATACACGAAAGGAGACAATTCTTCCTGGAATAATCACAGGGGATGGATTAGCTTGACCAATAGGGTATCTAAAGTCCTAGGCTCAATAATAATATGCAGACTAAGCGGTTCGCAGGAGAAACAAACACGACAGAAACAGGCAGGCTTTAGACCAGGAAAAGGGTGTATTGATCATATCTTCCCACTTCGACACATTCTCGAACATAGGCATACTCATCACCGGCGTCCAACAATCTTGATATCTCTTGACTCAAAAGCGGCATTCGATTCTGTCCACCGACAGGTACTATGGCGATGTTTGCCTAAGAAAGGAATGTCGGTGAAATACATTGCACTGATCAAGACACTCACTCGACTCACACTCATGCAGTCAGCCAGATGAGAGCTTACGACGAGTTACCATCTGAAGTGGTGACAACCAGTTCAGTGGTGTCCGTCAAAGATGCCCACCAATGTCCCCATTTCTATTCAATTTCATCATAGATGTATGTGCTAATGGACTTAACCCGAACTCAATTCAGAGATGCACACATTGACTTGTTACCGTCAGGGAATAATCTCGTTCCCTTAGAATATGCAGATGATGCAGTCCTCCTTTCTAGGTGAAGACACTGACAAAATTGAGCAGAGCCTTCTGAACATCAAACAACAAGATATTCAAATGTCTTCTACAAACTATTCAGAAAACAATTGATGCTGAAAAATCTCTTTGTCGCTTTCTTGTTGAAGAATAGTGTTGGTCTACACAAAGGAAAAAAGCGCACAGGCATACTATCTCACAATATGTATACGTTATTCAACAGCTGTCTGGCTATTTGACAGTTGCACGTGTCGAATGATCCTTAATGGAAAACTCAGAGAGGCGTTTGAAGTGAATATAGGAGTATTAAAAGGCTGGCTGGCTGCTTAGACTATTATTATTGATGATATTCCCAACTGTGGTGGACTGGATTATGCGTCAGACTGAGCATGGGGAGTCAGTAGACAGAAATACGCTGAACTCACCGATAAGAAGACTCTAGGAGACTTAGATTTTTCGTGTCGATAATTTATGTTTGATGTCACATAAACTCAAAGACTTGCAGAAAGGCAGGCGAAAATCGACAAAATGGCTGAAGAGGTTGCCAGAGAAGACTGGACCACAGGTGAACATATAGTGGAAGGAAACGGAGATGATGAAGATAACCAACCAACGAACACAAACAGCAACAATCATCATCAACCGGAGAGATTTAACAGAGATCATCTCCTTCCTTCACCCATCTGGAAAGAAAGCATCGTCTCAAATACAGGCCAACGGATCGGATGAAGATATCAAAGCCAGCCAGCAGCCAGCCACAATCGGAAACGCAACATACGCCTTCATCAACCTGAAACTAGTTTCGAAATCTTCTGCTTCACTCATTCCGCATAAACAATGAGATTCGGATTCTGTTCAACACAAATGTCAAATCAGTCAGTCAGTCATTTCTGCTGTACGGCTCAGAAACTTGCACTGAGCATGAGTCACGAAAGGCATTTCCAACAGCCAGTTGAGGAAGAATTTCATCAACAGCTGCCCACTTCTCTGGCTGGCTCCATACTGAAGATCAAATGGCAAACCGGCTGGCTGGCCGGCCGGCCGGCGAGAAAGAATTAGCAACAAGAAACTCTGACTGGGAACTAACCAACAGGTGAGAGCCGATTGTTCAACGAAAATCTGTATTGGAGCGAACGGAGATGGATCGGCCATACATTGAGGAAGCCATTGAATGACATAGCGCGCACTGCAGGCCATTGCTCCAGTGGAATGCAAATGGGGAGCGATGAGTGGGTCGTCAGTGCGACAGTGACATGGAGGAGATCGTGTGGGATGAGGAAGAGATCAGAGATTATGGGCAATCGTGGAGCTAGCCAGCTGAAGATATCGGAAAATAAAGGAATAAAGTGTAGATATGTTGCTGAAGCCCCCTAGGCTCCACTCAGAACCCAAGGGAATAATAATAATTGGACAAAGGTGGATCCTTAAACTGTTTTAAGTCATTTATTTTCTAACTTTACTGTGACAGGATTGATCACGATTTGATATCAGTAAGAAAAACCATTAGGAAACCACCTGGGAGTACTGTACAGCCCTAGCTGTTTTGTTAACCTAGTTCAAGACTAAGTGTTCAACAGTACCCACCTAATGACAGGGTTCAAACCCAAGATCTTCCGGTTACAAGACAAGCAAGCTCGTAGATCAACACTTGGAAAATATACATATAGTTAGAAAAAGTAGATCAGAAATATATAAATTATGCAAATACAGGTAACACATTTTTTACAATATTCAATGTTCCAATGAACTTACCTTTGCTGGTTGATTTAAAATTGCAAGATTATATCCAATTTGAAATGATGATCCAAAACAGGTGGTAAATACAGTCAGCATCAAAGTGCTGGTTAAACCGTACTTCTAATATATTTAATTTATTATGAAAATAAAAATTTTTGTAAAAAATTATTACTTCAAAGTTCATATCACAGTCTAGTAGTTTTTGTTGGTTTTTGCTTTTGTTTTTACTAAGTTATCTAGCTAATAATAATTATTATTATTATTTATCGATCAGTGATTTTCAAATTAACCCAAGGTCATTAGGAATTTTATATCTCACAGGATACAGTTAAAAATATCAATATGAGACGATAAGAAAGGCAGCTAAAGCAAAAGAAAAATACACATTTAACCTTGAGTACATCCTAAAAAGACAGAAGAATTTCGCCGTTCGTCTTTGCATCGCAATGTTTATAACAGTGATGCTTGTCAGAGAGATTAGAGAGAGAGAGAGATGTATACTACATCAGCACAGTATATGTAACATTAAGGTAAAATATTCTCTGTGTTGGTTTTGTAGGGATTTTTGTTTGATTACATGGAGGATTTCATCATGAGCTGACATCAGTTAGAGAACCACTGGAAAAGCTGGGAGTACTGGACAGCTGTTTCGTCCTAGTTTGGGACTCTTCATCAGTACGCACCCACCACCAGGGTTTGAACCCAGGACCTCCTGGTTACAAGGCAAGAGAGCTCGTAGACCATTGAGCCACTGGGACCCAATCCAATGGTCCTAGAATTCTAACTTCTACCAATTCACGATATAGCGCGATCACTTCGCAGGCCATTCAGGCAGTTAACCTGGGGTTCTAGTGGGAAGCCGTGACCAGTAGGGTACAGCAGGTTGAAGATGAGGCAGTAACTCATCGAAGAAGACATTGCGAAATGGTCGCGCTATATCGTGAATTGGTAGAAGTTAGAATTCAAGGACCATTGGATCGGGTCCCAGTGTCTCAATGGTCTACGAGCTCGCCTTGTAACCAGAAGGTTGTGGGTTCGAACCCTGGTGGCGGGTGCGTACTGCTTAAGAGTCCCAAACTAGGCTGAAACAGCTGTTCAGTATTCTCTGTGTATTATTATTATTATTCCCTAAGTTCCGACTGAAACATACGGCTTCAACAACACATCTACACTTTGTTTTGTTCTCTTCTCTCCTATTCAGCTGGGACCACGATTTGGCAAACCCTCTCATCTCCTCCTCACATGATCCCCTCCATATCACCCTCTCAGTGACGAACCAATCGTTGATTCTCACTGGGATTCCACTGGAGCAATGACCTGCATTGCGCAGTACGTCATTCGCCGGCCTCCTCAGTGTATGCCTGATCCATCTCTATTTTCCCCTACATATTTGTTGAGCCATCGGCTCTCGCCTGTTGGTTAGTTCCCAGTCAGAGTTTCTTGTTGCTAATTCTTTCTCGCCGGCCGGCCGGCCGGCTGGCCAGCCGGTTTGTTATTTGATCTTCAGTATGGAGCCAGCCAGAGAAGTGGGCAGCTGTTGATGAAATTCTTCCTCAACTGGCTTTTGGAAATCTTTTTCTCTTTTTGTAGTTTTAATATTACAAACGCTGAAGACATTCTACACTTTTTGAGGGTATGTTATCAATATGACCGAAGTCCTAGTGCTAACTGGCTGGAGGACTTCATCATGAGCTGACATTAATTAGAGAGCTGTTGGAAAATAAGCTGGGAGTACTGGACAGCTGTTTCGCCAACCTAGTTTTGGGAGAGTCCCAAACTAGGAGGCGTATCTGCAACCGTGACAGAAGGAACTCATATTCCTTCTGAGATTCAACAACACGTGTAACCCAATGCTACCTGCAGTCACAGACATTAACACTCAATTATTCGGATCCGAAGGCTTCCCGTGGCCTATTGCCTCCAACCATTTATTATCAACAATTCACAGTGCACTGTGATAACAAGCCAACTAGTGGCATGGTGATCACATTGCAAACTTGATTGACAATAGAATTCAGTCTGCACCAAAAGATAGGACTGGACACGTTACCACCAGTTACTGACTAGTGGCCAATAAGAATACGTGAACATGAGACAACCAGGCAGGCTTTAGACCAGGAAAAGCGTGTATGGATCATGTCATCACATTTCGATACATTCTCCAACATAGGTATACTCACCACTGACGTTCAACAATCTTGATATCTCTTGACCTAAACGACGAATTCGATTCTGTCCACCGAGAGGTACTATGGCTATGTTTGACTATGAAAGGAGGTTTGTAATTCACCAGATTAGATAACACCTGATTCCAGAAAATGGTTGGAGAAAAAATAAGACAATTTTACCACTGATACTTGTAGCTAATCAGTATACAAATCGTTCAACCAACTATACGCAATGTTTCCTCCTACTTAACGTACAAAGTAGTGCAAAACAGAATCATGAAGTCAAACTTTCTTATTATTATTCTGATATTTATAATCCTCTCACTTTGTTCCTTGTTTATTTTTTCATAAGTGTAAACATCATTAAGACTTCGTAATTATGTAACGACAGAAGGCAAGAGTCAGGCAACAGATCATTGATTAAGGAAATCAACGCATATTTATATATGTTTTCATATACATTACTATGGATATGTAAACAAACAAACACAGTCTTCCGATTGGTTGTTTCTCACGTCAAGTTAATCTTTCATCTATATTAAATAACTTTCTCTCGGAAATTAGTCAGTGGTCCTCTTCAAACGGTCTTAAGCTGAATCCGTCTAAATGTCAGGTAGTAAATTTTACTTTCAGACGAAAAAGTGACCTTCAACAACTAGCTAGCTCACATGGTCCCACTATCATAGACGGCATAGAGGTTGAAACTACATCAGATGTCAAGTACCTTGGACTGAGTATTTCCTCCGATCTTTCCTGGTCCTCTCACATCTTGCTAGTGACTAGAAAGATGTTTCGCTTAACGTTCTACCTTAGGAAGTTTAGGCAGTCTGGTATAAAGCAGTCTTTACTTTCTCAGTTTGTCAATTCCTGTATTCTACCCATCCCTCTTTACTGCTCCCCATTAATCTTTCCAGGACTACTTAAGAAAGACTTTGCTTCGCTGCGTAGGGCACTAAAAGCTGTTAGTAGGGCAAGTGGGATATCGTTAAACCAACTGGTTAACACCATAGTGGATAGACATATAATGTCATGTAAGAAACTAGCGAATACTATATTGTCAGACCCTGAGCATCCTCTCTATACACAGCTCTCTCCTTGCATATCATCTGGTAGAACTAGAAGTAACTATAGGAAGCTATATGCCAGGACTACCAAGTATAAAAACTCCACAATACCTTATCTGGCACAGCTGTTATGTGATGAGAAAACTGTTAGGCATGACATGATCAATTTACTGCGGCACTCTAACAAATAGTTCCCATTAGCTTTTGTTCTCCTTTCTTTGTTACTATTATATTGCTGCTCATATATTCTATTACAGACTAATTTTATATATCGTATCCTGTGGTGCACTGTTTAAATATGTGAATGTAATGCTGTTCTTTTTATTTTATTTATTTTATTTCTCTTTTTCTTTTTGTTGTTGTTGCTTTATATTTCTAAATCCTAATAAAATTTATGAGGTAATTAGATGCAATATTGTAATGAACGCTGAAAATTCCATACCTGTACCACAAATACTGTTTGGAATAAAGCCATTATTATTATTATTATTATTTGTGACTGTTTCTTGAATGTCAAATCCTCTATATGTTAACTGCATCCGCCTACGCAAAGTCTGCTGTGGTCGGTTTTGAATCAATCTTTGTTCACATTTTCTCACGACAAATCTTGGGAACGTAAATATTGACGTAAATTACTGTCTACCAATTTGGCTAGTAGACAGCTCTCACCACAATTATTGTTATTTTCCGTTTTTCGCTTCACCATGCTGTATCAAGAGGACATTAAGCTCAATACCCTATAACATACTAAAATTTCTATACTTTATCGACAGTATTGCTTGAAACAAACCCACTGTTATTATTATTAGAGTTCTGAGTGGAGCATAGGGGGCTTCAGCAACATATCTACACTTTATTCCTTTATTTTCCGATATCCTCTTCAGCTGGCTAGCTCCACGATTGCCCATAATCTCTCATCTCCTCCTCCTCACCCCCACACGATCTCCTCCATGTCACCGTCGAGTTGACGACCCACTCGTCGCTCCCCATTTGCATCCCACTGGAGCAATGGCCTGCAGTGCGCGCTATGTCATTCAATGGCTTCCTCAATGTATGGCCGATCCATCTCCGTTCGCTATCCCGATTTTGTTGAACAATCGGCTCTCACCTGTTGGTTAGTTCCCAGTCAGAGTTTCTTGTTGCTAATTCTTTCTCGCCGGCCGGCCGGCCGCGGCCAGCCGGTTTGCCATTTGATCTTCAGTATGGAGCCAGCCAGAGAAGTGGGCAGCTGTTGATGAAATTCTTCCTCAACTGGCTGTTGGAAATGCCTTTCGTGACTCATGCTCAGTGCAAGTTTCTGAGCCGTACAGCAGCAATGAGTGACTGACTGATTTGACATTTGTGTTGAACAGAATCCGAATCTCATTGTTTATGCGGAATGAGTGCAGCAGAAGACCTCGTAACTAGTTTCAGGTTGATGAAGGCGTATGTTGCGTTTCCGATTGTGGCTGGCTAGCTGGCTGGCTGGCTTTGATATCTTCATCCGATCCGTTGGCCTGTATTTGAGACGATGCTTTCTTTCCAGATGGGTGGAGGAAGGAGATGATCTCTGTTAAATCTCTCCGGTTGATGATGATTGTTGCTGTTCGTTGGTTCTTAGGTTGGTTATCTTCGTCGTCTCCACCCGCTATATGTTCACCTTTGGTCCTGTCTTCTCTGGCAACCTCTTCAGCCATTTTGTTGGTTTTCGCCTGCCTGCCTGCCTGCAAGTCTTTGAGTTTATGTGACGTCAAACATAAATTATCGACACGAAAAATCTAAGTCTCCTAGAGTCTTCTTATCGGTGAGTTCAGCGTATTTCTGTCTACTGACTCCCCATGCTCAGTCTGACGCATAATCCAGTCCACCACAGTTGGGAATATCA